GGTTACGCGCCGACTACACCAACTACAATCTATACGCAGTGACGCAATGCACTGAGGACGGCGTGCGTAAGTGCGCGCCGAAAAGCACGCGCGTGACGCGTTCCGAATATACACGCGACGCGCGCACGCGTGTCTGAGTGCGCGAGCACTCTCGGATTATCTTCGCCTTCGACAAAGGGCCTCTGGCGTTCTGGCAGGAAGCGGACACTTGTGACGCTGTTATTGCCATTAAAATATTTCGCGACTTAATGCAACAGTCAACTATGCGCGGACATTATACTGTAATAAGATCAACAAATTGTAACTGGTTTTAATGCACAATCATTGTCATACAAAACTAAAGCAACCTGAAGAAATACGTCATCGCGTACATGTGAAAACAAAAAGAAGACGATGCTTTAATAAATTAGAATATTGAAGAAAAATCGATCGTGCTTCAAGACAACTTAATCTACTCTCTAAAACTTTTATAATGAATCTCACTCTGAAAAGTAAAATCTTTAAAGATTAAAAATTAAATCACTCTTTTCAAAGACTGGCTCAATTTGCGCTCTTTAGAAAGAAGTTCGACTTCAAAGATTGTAATAATTTTTCGCTATAAAAGATATACTTCGAGAAATACATAAATATTTCATATTAATTTCCGTGATGATCATTTCCAATCATACGGATCTTATTTCGAATTTTTTTTTAAACAGAAACAACAAAGAAGTTAATCCAATATCGAAAAAAGTCACGTCATACAGTTACATGACGAAATTATGTAATTTGAAAAATCAAATGATATGTGTTCTTTTTTTCTATTTTTATTGTTCAATTCTTTAATATTCGATAAAATCACAGGATGAATGAAATTATTTCTATTATCATGTGTTTTTCAAATCATTTTAAAAAATCACGTACTGATTTGAAATAATCTGTTACGTGATTTATTTGTCTTAATTACACGATTTTGTTATATAACTTTGCGGTATGATTCTTTTCAGTAGGAAAATCACCCTACTGAACGCTCCGTATGCAACGTGAAAATCTGCTTGAGTGTTGCGTGTATTTAGGCGCGAAACAGCAATCGAAGATATATCGCAATATCTCGCGAGTAATCGCGCTCGGTTAATCACATTTACGGACTAAAAACGCATCCAAACCAAGATAAATACCGTTTTTTAATTCATGTATAAGTGATAAGCCATGACCTACGATCATTAATGCTTATCGATGATAATGAAGTCTGTAAGAAGACGATATGAGCGTCATAATCGTTCTCTCTTTCTCTCTTTCTCTCTCTCTCTCTCTCTCTCTCTCTCTCTCTCTCTCTCTTTCTTTCTTCCTATACGCGAGATAAGATATCAATATTCGAAATTGTAAGCGTTACATAACAACAGCACTCCCAACAGAGTGCAGGGAGACCATTTCGCCAGCGGGCTCGGCTCAACTGAAGTTATTTCGTTAATCAGTCAACCGGGAATCCCATATCAGGGAACCGGAACTGTCATACATGTTCGCATCGTATTCGCCGAACGTACGAGGACTCACCTTCACCGACATCTTGACCCGATACACGATCGCGCAACCACTGCACTGTCACCTTAATTATTGATTCACCATTGAGGGTGGAATACGCGCGCCCGCACACGAGTCGGGGGCAGCGATCGCGAAAAGGGCAGGAACCGAAGGGTGGAAGCCGGACAGAGAGGTGGCGGAAGACAAAGGAAAGAAGGCAAGACGGATTTCACTGGGTACTTCCGGCTGCCACCGAAACTACGACATTTTCCGTCGTTTTCGCCAGCGTGGCCGGTAAAATGCGCTGCAATCAGCTTTTGGCAGCTGCCTCTCTCAACAGGAGGATGCCCTTACCACCTTCCGTCGTGCAACCCCGCACACCCCACGACTCCACGAATCCCGTTTATATTGATTTCTCGCCCGTCCGGTTTCACCTGCCATCTCTTATCGTCGTTTTGCGACAAGTATCGCCTTATTATCATAACACATTGTCACATCATATTACTCATAATTGATTCGTTGAAATATCACGCGAATAATGGATAGCTCTAGCAATTGGGCGACTGAGTAAGATCGTCATTTTTTATGCACATTACAAGTATTTTTCGGAGGAACAAAAATAATTTGAAAACTAAAAAAATTGAATGATACTTTGGAAACAAATTTCTAATTATCGATAATTTCCATAATTTTAGAATTTTGAATATATATACTACTTCTGTTTGTAATGTATATTCATTACTTACTACTTGCCAATATGCGAGCATCTACTACTGAAAAAATGCCGAATGCGGAATAGAAAGAAATTCGCTTTAACATATCAACATAAAGAAATATTAAAAAGTTCAACAATCTAAAAGCATCTCTTTCTTTGAAACATTAGTAACTTTTTAATTTCATCATATAAATTCATAGGAAAATATATTGTTGATTTATTTTATTATTATTTTATTATCATAAAAATGTCACTATTCATTTTGTCTTACGTTAAAAATTGATTTTTATTTGAACAGTAAATTTGAGAATTTCGATTAGTTAATCTTTAAAATATCGCCTTAAAAATATCGCGATGTCCATCTCATTTTGAAGTACCTCAATTTTAATTACTTAAAAACATCTTTTAATTAAATTTATTTCATGATACACTACAGTTTTAAAGGAATTCACTTTTAACGCCACAAAGATTATCTTGGTTGTATGTGAATAAATATTTGGTGTCTTTATTTTGGATAGACATTCTTTCACATTAGATACGGTATCTTACAGTGTCACTGATACCGCGCGAATACATGATTGCACATTACGGTGAGAAGATCATTCAGAGACTAGAGCTTATTAAAGCTATGATATAACGCGCAGGCTACGCACGCACACAAAATATAGTGACTTCTGACTAGAAATTGTTGTAGACTCGTGGCGGTATGTATATATATATATATATATATATATAGATGTACATTATATGATATATAATATATATGGTACAAGCTTATTATATAATCACATGGACTCTCGTTAAACAGCCCATTTATCAGTTAGAATCGATTACAAAAAATAAGTGTGTACATATATCTCTTATATTTTGCTTTGCTTTTTAAGGTAAGACCTCCTTGGCTGCGAGATCGCGCCTCGCTTATCCAATTACTTGCTTATCTAACGGACTTGTCGCTATTGGCACATATTGCGTTTTCTTGGACCGCTATTATGCTCAACAAGCTAAGCCGAAGGACTGACGACGTATCTTAAAATTTAATACACATGTGTATATTGCATTTAAAAAATAATAGCGAGACGTATAGCATATGTATAAATTGAACTGTTTTAAATTCTTTTAATGTCAATTCATCTAAAAGATATGATTCGCGAGGATTGCAATTAATTTTTCCATATTGATATACGAGTAAATCAAGATTAGTCACAGCTCGAGGACGCATTTTTCTTCTTATAAAATATATATAAATATAAAGAGATTTTTGAAGTAAAAATATTATCTATTATACAATATGTGAGGAAATTAACGTATTACATGCGCAAAAATATTTGTTTGTAACTTAATTCAGTTGAACGATGAATTATATTTATTTTCACATATATTCCCTCACGTTCATTTTCTAACGTTAACTAAATGACCTTCGTTTTGTTAACTTCTTATTCTTTTACGCGATCGTATCTTTATTATGATAGTTATATGCAGTATTGCTGTTTCAATCGTAAACTCTTGAATTTTTTATAATAAATTAGAATTTTCTTTGGATCACTGTATCTTAATGTATGTGTGCAACGTGTAGTAATTTACGCATTATTTAATATAGAGATAATGTTACTGTGCATATATAATAGAAGCTTAAATATTATATATATAGAGAAGAATGACTTGACGAAAATATGCTGCACGAAAGACGATACTTCGGCATTGTCAAGTTCAATGTTATCAATATTATTGTTAGAAAAAATACATTAAAATTTATTTGATATTTCAAATAAATCTTATTTATTATGAATTTTATTGAAGACTTTAGCCATTTCCGTGGTCTTTCATAAATAATTCATGAATTCGTTTTTCAAGTTCATAAAAAAAGATGTGCGATTTACTTATCATTACCATATAAAGTAATGATTGATATCTTTTTTGTGCGTAGGTGGATTAAATTGGGTCGCGCTTTTGAAACATCATTTTCATTGTTTCACCTTAATCTTATTATGTTAAGTGTAATGCAGAAATAAAAAAAATTAATATCTGACACACGACGTTCAAAAAGATCTTGGCAGTATATATCGTAGGTATCAGAAATAATAAAATGTTTCGCCGTATGTAGATGGAACTATCGCCTATCACATTTAGAGATAATATTTAGCATCTCAATAGATAATCAAAATAGTTCAGCTTCAGAATTGCAACAAATATATTGTGAAAGTGCGAATTAATTCTAATGTCTAATATTAGATTTGCTAATTCTGTGTGAGAAGTAATAATGAACGATACACACACACACACACGCGCGCGCACGCACGCACACACACACACACACACACACACACACACATCTTTCATGAGATTCAATCGTTAAAATTGATAATTAAAGAAGTAGTGAAGTATTGTAAAACAATACTATGAAATTGGTAAATACGAAACACTTACCGCTGCGTAAAATATTCCATACATACGTGTTAATAAAAATGATACCACATTATTTCTGATAAAATAGAATCGTTATTTCTTCGCGACAGTCGGAAACTCCGTTAAAGATTATTCTGATAACGTATCTTGATAACGAACAATTAAGGGTGCGGTCGAGTTGTCACTACAAATGCTTCAAAGCATTTGATTAACCAATCGGAAGATAAAAATTTTATTGACTAATCAAAAATGTTTCGAAGCATTCGTAGCGGCAACTCGACCGCATCCTAAGTTTGTATTGCTATACAAGTTATGCGCAAATAGTAGAGACATATAAGAATAAACATCGCGTAATACGCGCAATAAGAATTTCAATTTACGTTCAGTCTAATGACTTTGATCTGTCTAATTTGTGTTTACTTTCAAGATCAAAGTTTATATTCCGATTCATTGTACGAAGACCGCGGGCCTCCTCGACATTTTCGCTTGGAGGCAATTGCACATTTTCAAAAATAAAGGATTTTAATATCACATTATTGGATGGATTTGATTGAGAAGAATTCGCATCTCGTTCCAGAAAACTCGCGCTTTCGGATGCTGCTGTCTGAGCAGAATTAAAAGTGCTCCGTTGGGAAGCATTCGACGAATCTCTGAGGAGAACATTTTGGAAGCCATCACCTTGGTAAATGATACCGGTGTGTTTACGCGGTAATCGCAAGGAACCGCCATAATTCGTACGTCCTCTCGGAAAGTTTCTCTGCATTACAGGAACTACGTTAAACGTACGCTTCAATTCATTCTCGCTTCTGCTCTCCTTAGGCGAGAGAGTGTGCATATCTGTGGTCGTCATGCATCTCTTCTGAGATGTTCGAGTTTCATCCTGCATGGTAATCTTACCATGGACTCGTACAGATTGATCATTTTCATGCCAAGGATTACATTCTCCATAGCTGCTAGTCGCAGCGTCAATATTGAGCATCGCATGTTCGGTACTCGGAATCTCGTAGCCACGAGCCACGTTTTCCGCATCCGACACATTGGGCAATCTATCTGTTGGATATCCTGGTAATCGATGCGGACTATTCTGATAATTACAACTGAAATTATTTCCCCCGGACGCGATCGATTCTTCTGGATATTCCAAAGGAACGCACATGTTTTGACCAACCGCACTGTTCGTGGTGCAATATTGGGAAAAATGCGCGAAAGGAACATTCTCATGACTATCAAGTTGATGAGCATTCGTGGTATCACTTTGACATTGACTCGAATTACCGTCCACCAATCTCGCCGGAGAATTGCAGCTATAGAAAAAACACTGTGGTACACTCGGATTTGGTATCACATTCGCCGTTTGTAGATTCAACCGGGCGGCAGACGACTCTGGCGATGCCGGATTTGAGATTTTGCCACGCGTTTGCGCTATCACTGTCTCATAACTAGGCGGAGGACCGTATAATTGATAATAAGGGCAATTGGCATCATTTAATACAACGTTCATATTCTGATAGTGTGTCGATGTGGTCGCATTACCGTTATATGCTGGCGCCGCTGTATTTCTCTGAGGGCCTGTTCAAGGAAATTTACATAAATAAGGTATTCACATTTCTCACACAAAGTAAATCTTTTTATAAAGTGAATCTATTAGAAAAGAATACGAGCCTTTCCACATACGATGTAATAGGACGGTATTTCTCGCTGAATTGTATGTAATACGAGCTTGCTGCGCTTGACAAGATGCATTACGAAGAGAACTTTGCGATCTAGTGGTAGAAGAGCGAGTTGGAATAGCCGAAGCTGCTGCTCTGTATCTGCCTTGCAACCAGTATCGGTACCACCAACCACCACCAGAACAGACCAAGAACATGATTATAACCAGGATCCTGAAAAATTAATTGTACATATTTTTATTGTTGTTCAGTTTAATGGAAAAGCTGCATATTACACAACACATTGTGATTATTATTAAAATTCAAAGAAATCATTATTGTCAATCAACATCTAAAAGTAACATTAATGTTACAACATGTCGCATTCAACAATATAATTGTTATGTAACACCATGTATCGTGTTACATTTATTTTTGAATTTTAATTATAATATTGCAAAATTATAATATTGAAATTATAATATTGTTATGTTACTTTTAATTGATGTCGTCTGGATGACTTACCAGTAATACCACAAGTGATGGAAATGAAATCCAGGTGACACACAACAACCAAAAGCACAACAATATTCTGTTCTTGAACATCTGCAAATATTATAATCAATGTAAAATTAATTTTTCATATGGAATATAATAAACAAAATACAATAAACAATTCTTTAAACATAAGTTTTTTACAGTCGATAAATCAAATGCAATCTAATAAAAATTAGTTAATATATAATTAAAAGAGGCAACATACTCATAGTATTTTATTTCTCCAGGCATATCAGAGGCACAGTACTTTGCTTCTGCCTAAAAAGAATTGTGATATTATAAACATTCGTAAAAATAAACAATTTTGTAATCGAATATGTAACAAAATTAATTTTATTAATAAATTTAATTAATTTTATTAATAAATTTTATTAATAAAATTGTAACAAAATCTCGTGATAACTTTTTATACTTGGGATTTTATAGGATGCTCCATTGTTTGATTCTATCCAGAGATCATGAATTCAAGTGCAATTAGGTAAAGCTGCAAAATTACAGAAATATTTCTATAATGCGGCAATTTCTGCATTCGCGAATGTGCAATTTTTTTCGAATAAAAAATAAACTGGGAGAAATGAGCGTCATTCACTCATGAAGGACGAGGCAACTCACATAAATGAGACACTTCGATGTACCCATGAATATCGCGAGTTTCTTCTTGCTGTTGCGAGCCATCTCGTCAATGAATATCCTCGTTGTCGTTTCGAGTCAAACGCAATCGGATCTAGCGCAATGTTTTGACATAATCGCCATTTCCCACCGTCCGTGATGTACACACAACATTGCACATTGCACTTATTGATTTCAATTTCGGAACTCAACAATGACGTCAGCTCGCCCAGTGCTACCACCATGATAGAAATGAACGATAGGCGATGATGACGCATTCGATGCGTCAATGGGCATCCAATGCCACATTCGCTAAGAAACTCAAGTTTGATTGATTCTTATCTTGGGATTCAATTACAATTCAATTGCTACTTAGCCGCTCAATGAATTATGTTATAACTAATAAACTTATAAATAAATCTAAATGCAATATTATAAATTTGCAAATTGTCATGACATCGAGGATTCTTTTAAGTCACGCTAATTTATTAGAAGATTATATATTTTCGGAGAAGACGGATCTAAATATTTGATTTGCTTTTTTTATAAATCAGATATTTTTTTAATATAAAAGTATTTTCTTTATTTTTATAAAGAAATTATAATAAATAGGTACATTATTCTGTTAGTAATTGGATGAATAAGTTTGATTTTCGAACAGAGAAATTCTGGATTCCTCAATTTGATAATTTAGAAATTAGATATTATAGCAAAAGACATCTACAAATAACATGCTCTATTTACTTCTAAAAAAAAGTTTATCTGAGACAAGTAAATTTGATTAGAAATAGATGATATAAAATCAAAAAATAAATTTATACATATATAAACTCATGCTTTTTATTTCCTTATTTCTAATATCTTATAATTATACAATCTTATAATTCGTTTTCCTTTTTCAATACTTTTACACGTGCTGTTCTATTCAAGCAAACAGATGCAGCACATAAAGGCATAATGATTATAATAACATTCTTCTTGCTTTGACTCTCCTTCTATTTAAACAATATAATCATGTAATCATGAAAACAGCCAAATAAAAATGCAGAATGCAATAATAAATTTTTAATCAATCTGCAATTAATCTTATCTTCCAAAATTTTACTCGATTCTTTTTCAGATCACAGTCTTATTACAAAAGCGTATCAATATATCTTTTTTTTCATTGATTCAATTGCTTTTTATTTTACGATTCTTCGATCCTGATTATCTCAAATATAAGCATTTACAAATAGACAAAATGTAAATACCGTATTTCGTCTACATAAAGATACAAAAAGCATAGCATTTTAAGTAACACTATGTTCTTTTTAACAGATATTAAGCTAAAATCGAAGCATAAAGTCTTCGATATGTGAAAGTGAAGGAAATGTGATATTAATGCTCTAAATCAAATTTTTACAGCATATAAAATTGAAGTAGATACTATACAAGTTTATACATAATACATTAGATTCGTAAATTCATTATGCTTATTAAAGCAAGCATTTGACAATATTTTTTTCTTTTTACGTATCGCAAAGTATTTGTTTGTATACATACATTTATATATATTTTGTCTTGATTCAAATTTTTCACGGATGTGAAATGTATTTGCGGTTTACCTACCGAATGGATTTAGATTTTTATTGTAATCATCGTCATCGTTGCCAACCCGATCATTATCATTATCATCGTCTTTAAAAGGATTATTCGCGTCATCATCATCGTCATCGTTAGCAAAGGGATTTTTAGATTCATCATAATCGTCAGTTTCAAAGGGATTTGATGACACAATAGGGGTTTTCGAAACAAAAGACTTATCGATTGGCGATGACTTTGGTGTAGTACTGTTTAAAATGCGGGCTTCTCTAATCGGCACCGGCGAAGCTTTAGCAGAGTTACCGCGTGGCGTCGATAAACCGCTTCCCGTTCCTGATATATTCGCCTCCAACGATGAAGAATACACATCTGGCTTGACAAAATTACGGAAACGTTCTTCCGTTATTAATGTAGGAACGTCATATCCAGCTCGTCGAGGCTCTATTTTTCCTGTTAGAAAAATGCGAAAACATATTAATTAGTTATTTGAAGATTGTAAGTAAAAAGGATATATGAAAGATAACTCATAACTCATACGTAATAAAATAAACGCATATATATATAAGTGTGATATTAAAGTATACCTGAGATAGAACTCTTTCCTTCATTCAATCTGAGTCTCGCTTCTGCACCTGGTCCATAATTTAACTTAGGTTCCTCCAACTTGGTCGGTGTAGGTAGTGATTTGTCTGTATCAGTGATTACTGTTAATTTTTTAAAAACGCCTCTACCAAAATAATCGGCTACTAAGGAAAATGGATCTTCTGCTCGATCGAGAAGACTGTGGAAAGTTTCATGTAAATCTCTTGACTGTTCTTGCGCTCTTATAATATCCAATAATTTCTTGTTATTTGGCAAGCAAGCTGGGCATTCATTTTCATTTTCCGAAAAGCTTTGAAAACAACTATCCAGAAAAACATATAAAATGAAATAAATTATATGATAGATAAATTCATATACTATAATACAAATAAGAATAGTATTAAAAAAAAACTGAACTCACTGTTGATGATAAGAATGTTGACACATGAAATGCACAGATGGCAATTCCAATTGATGATGGCATGCGCTACATCGTGATCCTTGAAAAATTATCGTATTATTCTTTATTGCTTCTATTTGTTCTCGCAATTTAAGAGTATCAGCTCTATATTTCTCTGTTAATTCCGTGTCAGCTTGAGTTTGCTCATTTTCTGTTCGTAATACACTGCACAAATAACTTCTAACGTCTCCCAGTGTGCAGGTCAATGATGTAGAAATTGCGTCAATGACCATTAAAGGAGATAATAGTCTTTCTTGAGCTGTAATGATATTTTTATATGCATTAACAAAACAATATTTTCTAAAGTATTTGATTGATTGAACTCAATTGATTGAATTCTGCAAATATATTTACCGATATAAGCTAATATATCCGCGAGAAGTTTTGTTGGTGCATCCTTGTTTTTAGCCACACTCCATAAAGCTTGTACCCATAGATTAGGATCCTGATGACCGAATCTTTTGCAGGTAGCGAGAACTTGTTCGCTATCTCCCTCGCATAAATGAAATCTTAATATTTCTTGATATCTAAGATAATAAATAAAAAAAATGTATTTATAAGTATTTATATAATTATTTATACAATCACATCTTACAGCTTGCTTTCTTCGTAAAGGAAAAGTAATCCTTTTCTGAAATTATGTTGGTGACAAAGTATTAATATTTGGTCTTTATCATAACGGGCCTCGGAATTCTGCAGAAGTCGTACAACTTTCTGTTCATATTGTAATTTAGCTACATCGTTATCTAATGCCGACCAAACATGTAAATAATGTTCCACTAAGGTGTTGTAAATAAGTGTACTCCACCTATAAAAAATATGAAAAAGATAAAGAATTAATTTCATGATAAAAAATATATGCATTCTTTTTATCGTGAAGAATAATAACCTTGTATCTGATTTAACTAAATGCTCCAAGAATTCTACGAGTCGTTCAGAATTATTTAGAAATAAATGAATAAAATCTTCTGGACTAGCTTTATCAACACGCTGTTCTGTATAACCATTCAAAGCTTCCTACAACAATAAAAGAATCCATAAATTTCCATCTTTTAGATTTTTAGATAATAATAACTTAGTCTAAACATATAAAATTTAAATATATATGTATTCATACCTGATCTACAAGAGGTTTGTTGGATGGTTTATAATTTGTGCACAAGGCTTTCAAAAATTGTGTGGATTCATTTGGCACATTTTCTATTAAGATATTTCCATATTTCTTCATATTAGCTTCCGCCTAAATAATTTTTAAACCGTTTTTTTAATATAAATATTTTATCATTTTTTGTAGAAATTTATATGTAAATACGTAATACCTCTTCGAATTCTAAAGTTGCCATGTATTCTAAAGCCTTTTTATATTCTTGTTTGTCTTCGATTTGAATACGAAGATACCATTCGTGTTTACCGTGTTTCTGTGCAAGTAGTAGAGCATCCTCCGGTGATGCTTGTCGGCAAACTTTTATCGCTATTTCTACGTCAAAGTCAACTTCACGATCTTTAGTCTAAATTTATAAAGTAATGTAATAAAAAAAAAATATATATATATACATCGCAGAGCGCTAGTATATATATATATATATTATACAGATATATTAACAAATATTTAGTTTTGCATATATAACTTACCATAATAAATTCTTTTAACTTATCAGTATGATTAAGTTTAGTGTAACAATTTAATAACAAAGTGGTATGATCTTCTGTTGCTTGTCCGTTTTTATGCAGCGCTTGCAAATATGTCGTCAAATTATCGATATGTTGAGAATCCAAAAATTTTCTTATCACGTAAGACGGTTCCAATTTGCCTATAGTCTTTATATATTGCTCTATAGCGCCATTATGATCCCCCTTGGAATATAAATGATCTCCGTATTGACGGAAAATGTCTATAAGACCTTCTGCATCATATTGCTGATTTTTAGCTATTCTATGATAGCACAAAGTTATATTATTATTAAAAATTGTAATGCTTTGATTTAATTACAACTAAATTACAACTAAATTAGTATATCTTATGTACTAGACATACCTTATAGAAACATCGTACAAATTCTTTTTAAAAAGCAACGCTAATTTAGATTGTAAATCTTTCTCATCTAAATGATACAATTTATTATCTCCACTAAGTATAAAAAATCCACCCCACTCGGACAAGACTGCTTGGACAGACACCATCGGCGCAGAGAATACGATAAACTTGTTTTGAATATCAAGCACAGTAATAATATGCTTATCGACACCAGGAGGTATCGGTTCTATCGTGCTATGGAAATTTCAGATATGCTTTATAACATAAATATTATACAATTACAAGAAAAAATACACATTCATGTATTCATTACTTGGGTTTGGCAGATATAGTTGTTGTCGTTCTTGGAACATTCGCAGCTTCTTTCGCCACTATCACCAAATAAGTCCTGAACCATTCTAGCATTATCTTTTGACCTTCCACTGCATAACACGGACCTCTACCATCTGGGGTGTAACAATAAATAGCCTGAAAATTTTGTTCTT